GAATCCTACCTGCTTCCATCTGACTAGTAATGCTGGTCTCTTCAGTTCACATTATTCTTTTGATCTATCCAGGGCCTTCTAATGTAAAACCCTTTTCAGAGTAGCCGCTAGTGGTAGCCAGCCTTGAAAACTAAGGTTTCCCTTGATAAGGCATCTGCTTGGGTAAATGAAAATTGAAGCAACAGACTATTTTTTCTTTTACAGCAGAATTTAGTAGTTTTCGTCTTTGGATATAGTTGAAAGTTACTTAAGTATAATCACTAAACATATGAATTAGAAGCAACTTGATGTCAGTGAGGTTATAATTACACAAAGCACATAGTACTACCCTGTTCTGTTTTTAGAGTGTATCATGTTTTCTTATGGTCACAGTTTTTTCAGTATTTTAAGCAGTTTTCAACAGTCAATTCAGTCATTTCTTACATGATGGCTATTTTTAAGTAGATTTTAAATAGGCTCAAAACACTTGGATTTATAAGTCCATAAAAAGGTAATTTTATTATTTTCTTTCTCAAAATATTTATGTTTACAAAAGAAACAAAAGACAAGCCAAATATTAGCATACAAACAAAGGCACTATTATAAATAAATCCTTCACTTTACCAAATCAAACTACTACAGGATGTCTTTATATGCTGAGTTTTCCATATATACTGAAATTATATTCTGGTATAGAGGAAAAACCTCACACTTCAAGAAGTGGATCAGACACATATACACCTGGAATATTTATTAACTTTTGAAATTCTTAATTCTTCCTTTGTCCTCCAAACTAAAAAAGAGTTATCTCTGAAGCACCCTTTCTACCTCACCATTCTCTGAATCATTTCTTATTCTTATCAATGGTCAATGTTTATCCTGGCAGTTTTATCCACATTCTAGGAAATGCAGCAAATCTGTTCTTGAAATGGTCTCGAAATTCAGGTGGGTTAGACCCAAAGCGGCTCTCGTGGACTTGAACGTATATATGAGCAATTTATAGTATGTTTCAGTCAGCCTCTGGTCTGGTTTAACTGCTGATATTGAGTTTCTCCATCTTCTCTTCCCACAGATATAGTCAATTTGAATGTTGTGTATTCCATCTGGGAAGACCCATGTGTACAGTCAGTTTTTTTCCAACAACTGTTCTTTTTTGTTTGTTTCCAACTTTTGCATTCCAATCACCAATAATTATCAATGCATCTTGATTGCATGTCTGATCAATTTCAGACCAAAGATGTTGGTAGAATTGTTCAATTTCTTCAACATTAGCTTTAGTAGTTGGTACATAAATTTAAAGGATAGTTGTATTGATTAGATTTCTTTAAATGCAAATAGATATAATCCTATGACAAACAGCCTTGTACTTCAGGATAGATCTTGAAATGTCCTTTAAGACAATATGTGCAAAGCCATTGTTCTTGATTGTGTCACTTCCAGCACAGATAATCCCGTGACTTTCTGATTTAAAACGGCCAACACCAGTCCATTTCAAGTCTTCCAATTTACTAGATGCATACATCATGCAATCCAAGTTCTAATTATGAGTCAATTTTGCAGCTGTTTCTTCTCATTTTGAATTGTGCCCCAAAGGCAAATGAAAGTCCTGAAGGCTTCGCTCTCACAGGCTTTAGCCCATGCCTGTCGTTACAGTGGACTCTATCCTGAGAAGGTCGTTCTTCCTCAGTCATGTTCTGAGGGCCTTCTGACCTGTGAGGCTCATTTCCTGGCATAACTCTGATAATGTTCTGCTACCACTTATTAGGCCTTTAGTACCTAACATTCTTTCAATGTCATGCACAATATGTTCAGCAGCTAATTCTTCTGAAGTAGACAGACAATTCCTTCTTCTATACAAAGAATTTCTGTTAGTAGTAAGAGTACATTCTTTACAAGAAATAATTCTGTAAATCAAATGTTTTATTATTCTCAGTCATTCTGTTTAAAAAACAAAAACACTCGCCTATCTATCCATTCAGGTACCCATCTTTTTTGTCTTAACATGTATTTAAGGCAAAAAGTATCTTTGTACCAACTAGAGACCCTAAGGTGTCTTCCCCTTAACATTAAGCAAAAATCATCATTATACAATCAAAGTTCAAATTCCCTCTGCACTGTGACTCCCTTAGCTTAAATTTCTAGCCTTATTCACCAAGCAAGACATCATGATCTCAAAAGGAAATAAATACATGTGAAAATGATATACCCCTTTTCTCTTAGTTTATTTTTTTTACTAGACACAAGGAGTTATGCTATTCATTCTTTAGCTTCTTTAGACTATTTTCTAATAAGATATTATACACAGCAAGTCACTGGGGGATAGCCTGAAATGTGTGCTGGCTTATCACTAGCCAAATGAAAACAATTTTAAAAGAATCTTGCATTGCTGTGAGAGGAAAATGGGAACGACACCAAGATGGACCACTTTTTAATTTAGAAAGTCAAATCTATGTAAGTTAGGCATTAGGTTGCTAACCACAAAGTTGGCAGGTCACACCGATCAGCCACGCAGAAGGAGAAAGATGAGGCTAGCTGCCTTCCCTAGGGGCTTATAGTCTTGGGAACCCTATAAAAAGAGGACTGAGAGTCGGAACTGACTGATGGCAATAGTTTGGGTTTAATATCAGAAATCAAAGTAATATAAAGTCTATAAAAAATAAATTAAGGCAGAACACAAAAACATAAGGCAAATAAAAAATATGTAAACTTCAAAAGCATGTTAAAAATGTCCATTATCTTTTCATTCCTTTGCCCCACAAACTTTGTGAAGCCCCTTTGTATGAGAAGAGGAGCCCTAGTGGCACATTAGTTACGAGCTGGCTGAGACCGGCCAAGTTAGCCGTTGAAAACCACTCTCCACTCCTCAGGAGAAAGATAAGCTTTACTACTCCCATAAAGAACTGCAGACTTAGAATCCCAGAGGAGCAGTTCAATCCTGTCCTACAGGTCACTCTGAGTCAGAATTGTTTTGTTGTTTGTATGAGACATAAAACTGTAAACAACTTTTCCTTACTTGAGCTAAGTATATATTTATAGTGAATATAATAAAAAAGCAACCTAAAATTTTAGCTTATGAGATATTGAGATTTGAAGTATTTGATGAACTTGCTAGCAATTATGGCTTAGAAGTCAATAAAGAAAGAAGGCACAGATTATCCATTGGGATTCAGTCACCCCCACTAGCCAGTCCCAGTGAGCTGGCAGGAGCTGGTGCAGTAAATCAACTCTGAACTGACAGCGGGCACTGGAGGGGGGCTTCTTCACAAGGTCCTGAAAAAATTCACGATCTTTTCATTCAATTTCCCACAAACCTTTTGAAACTCCCTCCTAG